GCCACAGCACTGGCACCGGCCTATCTCTCTCTGGTCGAGAAACCAGAGAAAAGCTGGCCATCACAGATGAGTTGGGAAGAACTCCTTCCTTTCCGTGTGCTGGAAGATGTTTTGTAAACTGGTATTGTTTCTTCTTAAATGTTTGGTAGAAAGGCTAGAGCTGTAGCACAGTGGATTAAGCCACTGCCTGCAACGTCAGCATCCCATAGGAACGCCATTCAAGACCCAGCTGCCCCACTTCTGATCTAGCTTTCTGCTAATGCACCTTGGAAAGCAGCAGAAGACGGCCAAAGTCATTGGGCCCCTACACCCACTTGGGAGACACGGATAGAGTTCCAGGCTTCGGCCTGGCACAGCCCCAGCCATTGGGACATTTGCGGAGAGAATCAGTGAATGGAAGATCTCTTTCCCTCTCTGTAATGCTGCTTTTCAAATAAATAAAAAATAAAAATTTTAAAAAAATTGATAGAATTCACCAGTGAAGGCATCTGGGCCTGGAGTTTTGTTTATGGGAGAGGTTTATTACTATAAATCCTGCTATATCTTTCTCCTTGAATGTGGATTGCACTTTTGCTCAAAGCCCTCAAGGTCTGCCCCACGCACTGTGTGTCTGCTCCAGCCACTGCCCACACTCAGCAGGCTCCAGTCACACAGGGCTGCTGGTCACTCCAAGACCACGCCACACTCTGCCCCGCCTCAGGCCCTGGCAAGTTTGGCCACAGGCTCATTGCACACTTACTTCTCGCTCCCAATCCCCACATCCTGGAGTAGGGGTCAGAGAGGTCGTCCCTCACCTTTATAGCCTGGGTAGTGCCTGTGAACAGTGTGTCCCCCAGGGGCCTGGTCACTTCCTTCTAATGTACAATGCACGGGCCACACCCTGCCATTGTTTGGTGTGCTTTTATTAAGCTTCCTAAAAGCAGAGGCTGTGGGGCTGGTGTTGTGGGGCTGGCATTGTGGTGCAGTGAGCTAAGCTGCCAACTGCAACACCAGAATCCAGGATCAGAGCATCAATTCGAGTCCCAGTTGCTCCACTTCCGATCCAGCTCCCTGCTAACGCGCCTGAGAAAGTGGTGGAGGATGGCACAAGTGCTTGGGCCCCTGCACCCCATATGGAAGACCCGGATGGAGTTCTGGGCTCCTGGCTTTGGCCTGGCCCAGCGCCAGTTGTTGTGGCCATTTGGGGAGTGAACGAGTGGATTGAAAATCTCTGGTGCTCTCTCGCTCTCGCTCTCGCTCACTCTTGCTCTTGCTCTCTTTCTCTCTCTGCCTTCCAAATAAATAAATAAATCTTTAACAAATAATTTAAAAAGAAAAGCGAAGATTGTACTTGTCTTGTTCATGGCTGCAACCTCTGCACCTAGCACAAGACCTGGCCCCCACCAGGCGAGCGCTGACAGTGTTGAATAAACACACTAAGTGAGCGGCTCTGCCCGCAGCTCAGCCAGGCCGCACACCAGGGAAGCCCGAGTCCTGTGGTCAGGCTGAGGTTTGATGTCAGCATCAAGTAGCCAGGCAGCCACCGAGGGGTTAGGTGGCTTGGCGGGGATGGGAATGGGGGCGTGCTCTGTGTGACTGATGTGCCCACGGGGAAGGCAGTTCAGGATTGTGGGGGACACAAAGATGCAAAAGCCCACCCACCTCTTCCCTGGGAGGCTCCCCGCTCTCTACTCCTCAGCAGGAGGGGAAGTGGGTGGAACGCGCCCACCTACCATGGAGCCACAGGGACCTGCGGCAGCCGCTGCTCACTGACCCTGCCAAGTCTTTCCAGCCCCATAAAAGCCTCCCCCGGTGGCCGTGGCCCTCATGAAGAGCCTGTGGAGCAGGCACAGAGGCGGCCTTGTGGCTTCCTCCCCGCCTCACCGCACCGCGGACCTCGGCTCCCTGCTCATGGAAAGTCCCCCGCTGGGCCTGGCCCCAGGAGACGGACCGAGGTCCACATTGCCAGTGTCTGTTCTACAGGGGGCAGAACATGCGCCTGGAGCACCAGGGGCCCCTCCTCCCAACGGATCCAACCCCACGTGCCCCTCCACTAGGCGGGGAAGGCCTTGGCCTCTGGTTGCCGGGTGGGGGAGGCTTGCCTGGGCACTGGGGGTAAGGACAATGGATCCCAGCTTTCCCAGGACCATGGCAGTGGGGTCCTGGCTGCAGCCAGAATCCCACTGGGGAGTAAGCAGAGGTGGGCGTCCGAACATTCCGTATGGGAAGCAGCTGTTTGCAAGAACCACGAAGCAGCGCCCAGGCCTCCAGCAGCCATGCAGCCTCCATCCTGTTCACGGACGCACTCCCCTGCCAGGACGCCCCGCTCATGGTGACATCATCCCCTCACACTGCCGAGGGAAATGAGCTCAGGCAGCCGTCGGAGGTGGCCTGTTTACTCGCAGAGCCCCTGGCCGTCAGCGGCTCTTTGACCAGACACCCCCTGTCCGGGCCAGCATGAAGCAGAAATTTCCTTAAACACATTACTTTGGCCTCAACCCACCACTTGTTCCTTTGCTTTCCATTTTTTTTTTTTCAAGAGGAAAATTCCCAGTTATAGCCCCAAATACAACAGCCCAGAGATAGTAGGGGAAAGTCATGGTGACAACCGCCCCACCAACCCACCCGAGGGCCTTTTGCAGTTCCAGTTGCCCCCACCTGCTGGGAGACCAGGAGAGAAGCAACTCCCAGGCCCCAGGAGTGTGTGGGGTCCGAGGGCTGGCCAGCGGGACCTCCGGGACAGAACGTCTCTCCTTGTGTCTCAGGGCCTCGGCCACCCTGAGCTCTCTTTCAGAGCCCTTCTCAGCCCGGCAGCCCTGGCCGCACCCCGGACCCCTCCCTCATTCCCTCCAGGTCAGAGATATTTCAGGAGAGCGCGAGAGCCGCCAGCTCTCACAGGCTCCAGGGGATTCCCGAGATGGTCTCCCGCACCCACCCTGGCCGACAGTCCCTGTCTCCGGCCATTCTAGAAGGCTTGAGGGGACAGAGGTCACCAAGGTCCTCTCGGTGTCCCCAGTGCGCCAGGACCCTAAGGCTGCCTATGCAAAGGCAGAGCAGCGCCCTCCCGGGGGTATCAATCATGGGAGACAGCTGTCCTGGCTGGATCTGCCCACTGTTGGGGCCGCTCAGGCAGGCAGAGACATGTCTGGGAGCCTGAGGCCTCACCTGACCCACTCCGCCCTGTGGCCCGATCCAACTGAGCTCAGCGTCACACAGCACCTGGGAGCGGCTCACCAGCAGACACAGAGGGCACTGAACCTGTGTTCTTCATCACGCTTGCGTGTACACAGACTGAGAACGTGTCAAGGACCCGTATCAGAGAATGGGGTGGAGGGAGGGACTCCCAACTGCAGCTGGACACTGAAGAAAAGGGCCAGACTTTCTCCCCGAACTGTCCCCACCCCCCACCCCCACCCCACACAGGGCCAGACATCCCTAAACACATGGTTTACTTGAATTCACTTAGCCAGCCTGTCTATGGTAGGATGTGAAAGGTGGAAAGACTCTCCTTTGTAGAAATTTATTGTTATTAATTTGAGAGACAGAGATGGTCTATCCACCGGTTCAGTACTCAGATGCCTGCAGCAGCCTGGGCTCCAAAGCCAGGAGCCAGAACTCAAGCTGGGTCTCCCACGTGGGTGGCAGGGACCCAAGTCCTTGAGCCAGCACCTGGTGCTTCCCACAGTGCGCATTGGCAGAACGCTGGAGTCAGAGGAGGAACCAGGACCCGAACCCAGATATTCTGCTAGGGGATGTGGGTGTTGCCTTTACTCCCTGAGTCAAATGCCCACCCCTGAAAAGACTGGCCAGGTGGTATTTACTGGACAGCTACTGTGTCCCTGGCATCAGGCTCAATGCTTTATACACATTGTTTCCTTTCATCCTCACATCAGCCCAGAGGGAGGGAGAGGAACTTAAAAGGACACAAGTGGCCCAGCTGGGGTTCAGTTCCAGGTTTCTATAGTTAGGCCTCTCTCAATTTGCCCTCTCAAAAGTAATTAACTCAGGAATGACTCTGATTCCTTCTATCAGCCAAACAAGGCCTATACAGTTAGCGATGAGGTCGCTCAACCCTGTCACTCCACGAGCAGGAAACTTCGGCCTGGTCCCAGAGTGAGAGTGCCCTGGGCAGCGGGCCAGTCCTTGGAGTGTTAGGGTGGTGCCCCTCCCACACCCCAGCCTGTCTCACAGCCCCAGGAGGACCCCGGCCAGGGAAGGGAGGGCAGGAAAGCTTTGAGCTCTGTCCTCCATGAGAAAAGACAGGCAAGGCAAACAGAAAAGCACACACAGAGACGTGTATAGACCGGCGAAAAACACACACAGCACCTGGACCCAGGCACCCATCGTATCGTTCCTCTCACTGTCCTCGCCACAGCTCCGTTCCACGCCTGCCCCTCGACGTGGCCATACTCTAAATTCCCAGTGCCAAGTGCGGGGCCAGGCAGAGAGCAGGCCATGGAAACGTGCCTGAGGGGCAGAGGATTATGAATGAGTGAAGGAATGCTTCTGTACCGCTAATGCATAACCGCATACGGGCTTTCAATCAACACATTCCTGACGGATCGTTCCCCGGGGACACACACGCTAAAGTCACATGCAGAAACACTTGCATTCACAGAAAAGCCACCTCGCATGTTTACTCCACACAGGCACACACACAGGCGGCCGTCGGGAAAGACAAGGGGGCCTCAAAGACACCCACATTCCCAGGCACGCGCAGAGACGAGGTCACTCACACACATGCAGGAAACACACAAGGACACACTTTGCACGGGGAGCCCTGTGCTCATCAGAAGTGCGGACGCATCCGGGATGAGTCACAGGAGCACACACTGAGGGACTCGGCGAGCCAGCGGTGAAGCTGCGGGCCGAAACAGACAGGGAGGGAGACACTTGTCCACAGAGACCCCGGCCCTCTCTGCCCTCCCCACCCCCTACCCCCTCCTGTTGCCAGGAATGCCTTTTGCAGACCGGCTGGGAACAGCTGCTTCCTCCTCCCTCCTCCGCCGCTCCAGTGCTGGGGCAGAAAAGCAGAGGGTTTGTGCTGGGGAGGCGGGGTGTGCCCCATTCCCCAGGACTTTGCCCTCCGACCTGCCTGCCACCCGGGGCCTGGTCCACCCTCCGCTGGCTGCTGCACTCCGGGCAGTGGAAGAGCCCTCCTGGGCTCCCGTCCCAGTGATTTAGGGGCATCCGGGATCAGTGCTTTTCCAGAGGCCGGCTTCCTGAGGAAATGGCTCAGCCACAAGTCTGATCTCCAAAACAGGCCCGGGATGAAAAAAACACGAAACACACAGGCAGCAGCTCCCGCCCGGAACCCCGACACCATTCCAGCCACGGCGTCCCGCTCCGCAGGAACTGCAGGTCAGGGTTCTCGTCCTGCTTCTGCCTTAACTCTCTGCGTCCACTCGACTTCAGATCTAGCTAGAATGACGTGGGAGCTCAGGTGGCCCGAGCAGGGCCTGGGCCGGGATGAAGGGACTCTGCGCCTAGGAACAGTGGCCAGTGGGGGCCTCTTCGTACCCGATATAGTCATTATTACAAAACACAGGGTTTGTGCGGGCAGCAGCTTGAGGCTGGGGTGCCTGGTGCAGGGGCAAAAAGGAGACTCAGGAGGGAACATTCTGTGCAGGCTGGAGACAGCCAGTGCCCTCTCCCACCCCCTCACGGGGTCCCCCAGGCCTCTGCTGGAGGTAGACTCAGGCCTGCGGCCCCACCCAGCCAGGCAGGCGGACAGACAGGAATATGCTGCTCAGCACAGCTGGCTGGACAGGAGAGACTGTTTATTCTCTCACGTCGGGAACATCGCAGACAATCAGGGGGATTTGGCTGCTGGCAGCCCCTGGATGCAAGGTCTCAAGAACTCAACTTAATCAGAGCAGGCTGATGGCTCGAGCCCTGAGCAGACAGCTGGGGCGGGCGGGAGGGGCCGTCCTTGCCCTGCCCACGGTCAGCGCTGTCTGTGCTTCTGAGCTCACCACCATGCCTTGCAGCCGCGGGGCTACAAAGGTGTCCAGAGCCCACCCCAGAGCTCTGCTTGAACAGACTGGATGTCAGGGGGGATTTCCCAGGATACCGACCTCTGACACCCCAGGGGTCCCTGCTCACCAAACACAGCAAAACAGCTCTGACCCCAGAAAAGGAGCTCTTTTTCCCATCTGCCGGGCCTGGACCACCAAGCCCGGGGCCCTCTTGCTCAGGCAGCCCCTCTGGCTGTGGCCTTGTGCCCACCTGCCTTGCTCATTACCCCGGCTCTGCTGAACCCTGGTTCTGCCTTTTTCTGGTCTCTGTACCTTGCATGAGTCACCCCTCCACGGCTGGCTCCTCTCTGCAGTGCAGATACCAGCGTCTGCCTTGCAAGGCCGTTGCGAGAATTAAATAGTCCTTCAATCCATTTGTCACACGGGGAGCACTCAATAAACACTAGTGCCCGTGCCACTATCCCTCTTCCCGCGTCTGCCCAGACTCTGGTCTTCCTGTAGCTGACACATCCAGTGCGGCTTTGCACCCCAGCCCTGGCCACATCTACCATTGCCACTTCCAGACCTGAGTACCCTGAGAAGTGTCCAAAGTGATCAAGGAGGCACCTTGAACCAGGGTTACAGAAGGTCCCAGAACAACTTGTTTAGTCCATCTCTCACTTTGCACCGATTTAAAATTTTTTAAATTATTTATTTATTTTATTTGAAACAAAGAGAGATCTCTCCCATCCACTGGCTCATTTCCCAAATGCCCATAACAGCCAGGGCTGGGGCACGCTGGAGCCAGAAGCCAGGAACTCCACCCAGGTCTCCCATGTGGGTGGCAAGGATTCAAGTATTTGAGCCATCATCAAGTATTTTGTCTCCCTGCCTCTCAAAATAATTTTCTGATGCATAGTTGATGTCTATTTATACATATATATATATATATATATATATAATTGAGGCAGTGTTTTTAAATCCCTGCAGACCTCTAAGAGGCTGTATGTTATGGGACCGTTTTGGGACAGCCTGCACTTGCTCAAGACTGGTGAAAATGCCTGTTTGAGCCTCATCTACTAATCTGATCTAAAACCAAGCCATCAGTATGCTGTTTATTTTAAATCTAAATAAATAAATAAAGGTTTGGGGTCGGCATTGTAGCATAGTAGGTTAAGCATCCGTCTGCAGTGCAGACATCCCATATGGGCGCTGGTTCTAGTCCTGGCTGCTCCACTTTTTTTTTTTTTTTTTTTTAATTTTTGACAGGCAGAGTGGACAGTGAGAGAGAGAGAGAGACAGAGAGAAAGGTCTTCCTTTTGCCGTTGGTTCACCCTCCAATGGCCGCCACGACTGGCGTGCTGCGGCCGGCGCACCGCGCTGATCCGATGGCAGGAGCCAGGTACTTATCCTGGTCTCCCATGGGGTGCAGGGCCCAAGCACCTGGGCCATCCTCCACTGCACTCCCTGGCCACAGCAGAGAGCTGGCCTGGAAGAGGGGCAACCAGGACAGAATCCGGCGCCCCGACCGGGACTAGAACCCGGTGTGCCGGCGCTGCTAGGCGGAGGATTAGCCTAGTAAGCCACGGCGCCGGCCCTGCTCCACTTCTGATCCAGCTCTCTGCTGTGGCCTGGGAAAGCAGTAGAAGATGGCCCAAGTACTTGGGCCCCTGCACCCACGTGGGAGACCTGAGGGAAGCTCCTGGCTTCGGATTGGTCCAGTTTCAACTGTTGCGGCCATTTGGGGAGTGAACCAGTGGATGGAAGACCTCTCTCTGTCTCTCCTTCTTTCTGTAACTCTGCCTCTCAAGTAAATAAATCAATCTTCTAAAAAATTGTTTTTGTGGGTAAAAAAATGTCTGTCATCCATACCCCCAGTCATTCAGAGTGGCCTTGTCGCATTCCTTCCTGCCCAGTGTCACCAGAGCTGGCCAGAGGGGCCTGGCAGCACCACATGCTGTTTTCTCTGGGGTCCTTCCTTGGCCAGGTGGAGCCAGGAATAAAGTTTGGCTACAGTGGCCCCACCCCATGACCTGGCCAAAGCTCCCCGTGCCTTGAATCTCCAGTAATTTCTCTCTTCTGTCACTTCTCCCCCAACTTATTATTAAACCCTGTTTCTAGAAAAGGCTGTGATATTAGTCATTTACATATGTGTATGAATAAGTTCAAACCAGCCGTTTAACCTCTCTCAGGACCAGTTGCACTCCAAATGAAACAGAGAGCTCTCTGCTGCCCACCCCAAAAGTACCTCTGGTGACAGCAAATGGGACTCCTGACATCAAGCGGCGAGCATCTGACCTTCTCGGAAACCCTCACCCACGGGCCCGACCAGTGCACTTTTTCTCTAACTTCAGGCTCCTTCTACTGCCATCCAACCATCACCACCTATGGCAGGGAAATGTTCTGCATCCTTTCATCCACTTATTCGTTCAACAAACTTTTCTTGAGGGCCCACCACCCCTTAGATACTTGGGTATACAAAGATGACAAGGCTCTCTCTCCTCAAGCAGCTTTCTGTTGAATTTTAATGCAAGAAACATTGACATCACTTCCATACTTTTTTTTAAGATTTATTTTATTTATATGAAAGGCAGAGTTAGAGAGAGAGGAGAGAGACAGAGACTGAGAGAGATCAATCTTCCATCTGCTGGTTCACTCCCCAAATGGCCCACAACGGCCAGAGCTGTACCAGGCTGAAGCCAGGAGCCAGGAGCTTTTTCCGGGTCTCCCACAGGGGTTCAGGGGCCCAAGCACCTGGGCCATCCTCCACTGCTTTCTCAGGCACTTAAGCAGGGAGCTGGATTGGAAGTGGAGCAGCCAGGACTCGAACCAACGTCCATATGGGATGCCGGTGTCAGTCGGAGGCTTCGCCTCCTACGCAGAAGCACTGGTGCCAACCGCCAGATTTCCAACACACGCAAAGCCTAGCTCAGTACGTGGTTCACAGATGCTGCCTCCCGCCTCGGTATGCAGACTCTGCAGTAGAACATTGGAAACTTTCGAAAAACCCTTTCCAGGTAGACCAGGGCGCCAGGCGGTGAGGGTGGAGACGGTGGTTTCTATCTTGCTTTGGAATGTCAATGTCGTGATTTGTTTTGGATGATCCAAATGTCAGGTCAGAGATGCATGCAAAGCAGAGGGGCTTATTCTAACCAGATCAGGGCTAGAGGCAGCCCAGGACACTGTCTCCATGGTGCATAGCCCCAGACAGCCTGGAAACAAACAGAAACCCATCCAGAGAGGGGGGACTGACAAAAGCAAAAACAAACAAAGGCCAAGAGATGGAAAACTCATGAGGTGGGGTAGGGGGTGAGGGGTGGAGGGGAGGGGAGTGAGGAGATATGCGGGTGCTGTAGAGGGGGCTCAGGGAGGGACATGGCCCTGTTTTGGAGTGAGGAGCCTCAGAGTCACCGTGGCAACGGGGCAGGAGTGCGCGCTGACCCTATGCCAACACAAACCTGAGCTCAGCGCCCGGAATGGGCTCTGATGCGATGGGGCCACGTTGTAAAGAAAATATCTGGTCCGGCGCCACAGCTCACTAGGCGCCAGCACACTGGGTTCTAGTCCCGGTCGGGGCGCCGGATTCTGTCCCGGTTGCCCCTCTTCCAGGCCAGCTCTCTGCTGTGGCCTGGGAGTGCAGTGGAGGATGGCCCAAGTCCTTGGGCCCTGCACCCTGTGGGAGACCAGGATAAGCACCTGGCTCCTGCCATCGGATCAGCGCGGTGCGCCGGCCGCGGCGGCCATTGGAGGGTGAACCAACGGCAAAAGGAAGACCTTTCTCTCTGTCTCTCTCTCTCACTGTCCACTCTGCCTGTCAAAAAAAAAAAAAAAAAAATATATATATATATATATATATATATATATATCTGAATGGGGCTCTTTACATCACACACAAACCCCCCAGCCTTTCCTGGTTTTTATAGGCAATCAGCTAAATCACTCAGAATCGACAATGAACTGCACCCGCTACTCCACCTCTCTAGTATACACCTGTGCACTTTTCCAAAACCACCTCACCACACCAAGACCCCTTCCCTCTGTGGTGGACACTCATGGCTCCTGGGGCTCTGGTGGCTCCCAGAGGCAGGTACCTCACCTGGGAGAGGCCCACTTGTCACGCCTCTCAAAGCTGACCATGGCATTTAGTGACCGAGGACTGAGGGGGCCACCAGACCAAGACAGGTTCACACCATGTGGGCTCATGTGCCATCAGCCCCCTGGCAAAGCTCTTGGCCCAGTGGGCACTGGTCAGCGAGGAGACTGCCCCTTCCTCCCGCCTCGCCTCTGCACCTGTTTCCCCTTGCCTGGAGCTGCATGGCCTATGGGAACAGAACCGGAGTCTCATTTCAGGGTTGTCTCCTTCCCGCCTGCCCATTCCCAGGTACCCGGAGGCCTCACACTGCCCGCCATTGCACTGATCCAGGGCTGGCTCATCCGTTAGACACAACAGGCACAGTGCCTAAGGCTCACATTAGGAAAATGCTTCATTTCCTTTCGAATCAGAAGGAAAAAATGAACTCTTAAGTGGAACAAAATGTTTTAGCACATAATACTAATATATTCATATTTACACCGATGCAGTCATCAAAGAGTTTTAAACACTTTCTTCATGGAGGGCGGGCAGCTCACAAAAGCAAGGGTGCGTCCTGTGGCCCTGCCTCAGTCTTCCCTCCAAGTCTCCATGGTTTCCTTCCCCCACAGCAACACTCACCTGGGGGCAGGCATCACTTAAAAATGCCAGCTAAGATGTCTGCACCCCATGTTGGAGTGCTTACACTTGAGTCCCAGTTCCACTCCCCATTCCCACTTCCTGCTAATATGCGCCACAGGAGCCAGCAGAGATGGTTCAAGTAATCGGGCTCCTGCCACCCACGTGGGAGATCTGGATTGAGTTCTCAGTCCCACCTGCTGCAGGCTTCTAGGGAGTGAACCAGCAGATGGAAATGCTCTCTCTTCTCTCTCCATCTCTCTCTGCCTCTCAAAGGGTGGGGGCAGCACTGTGGTGTAGCGGGCTAGGCCTCTGCCTGTGGCACCATCGGTTCCCCATATGGACTTCGGTTCAAGCCCTGGCTGTTCCTCTTCTGATCCAGCTCCCTGCTAATGCACCTGAGAAAACAGTAGAAGATGGTCCAAGTGCTTGGGCCTTTGCACCATCGTGGGAGACCGGGAAAAAGCTCCTGGCTCCTGATTGGCCCAGCTCTGGCTGTCGCGACCACTTGGGGAGTGAATCAATGATGCAAGACCTTTCTGCCTCTTAAATACATAAATAATTTTTTTAAAACACCTATCAGCTCAGTTTGATATAAATATTGCCTGAATCAGGACCCATTACCCAGCTGTGCTCTACAGCTGCAAGCCCATATGCAGCATTCAAGCCAGAGCAGGGGTTCTTTTTTTTTCTTAAGACTTATTTGGAAGACCATCATCCATTGCTTTCCCAGGTGCGTTAGCAGGGAGCTGGATATCAAGTGCTGCAGCCAGGACCGGAACCAGCCCTCAGATAGGGGTTGCCGGGTGTTGCAAGAAAGGGTTTAACCCCCCACGCCACAGTGCCGGCCCCCAGAGCAGGGGTCTCGGAGAAATGAGAACACCTTGACACTGCACGAACTTCCTGTCCATGCACTCAGGGCTTGCCCACATCCCTCTATGGAACTGCACTGAACCTGCTCCCCCGAGTTTGCCAATCACCCACTCAGTGAATCTAGCAGACACCCCTCCAGGGGGGCCCCGGCCGCTCGGCTGTGTTTGCCGCTGCCCAGCCAGCCCTCCCCTTTGGCTCCCGGACACCTGGCCGCTGGTTTTCTTCTGCCTCTCTGAACACCCCTGCTTCTTCTCTGTTGCAGGCCTTTACTCTCTACTGAGTCATTAAAACCAATAATAATAAGAGCAGTAAAGCTGCCACCTGCAACGCTGCCATCCCATATGGGCACCTGTTCGAGTCCTGGCTGCTCCACTTCCGATCCAGCTCCCTGCTAATGGCCTGGGAAAGCAGTGGAAGATGCCCCAAGTGCTTGGGCCTCTGCACCCACGTAGGAGACCCAGACACAAAGGGAAGATCTGTCTCTCTGTCTCTGTAACTCTTTCAAATAAATAAATCTTAAAGAAAACAAAAACAAAACCAGAAAACTGCTCATGACATTGCCCACTGCTTTTCAGGTCTCTCCAAATGCAGTCTCTGCCACCTCTCCCAGCCCAATTTCTGACCACTGCCTTTTCCTTTGTGACTGTCTAGGTCTTTGCATTGCTGGTCCGACTGCCTGCAACACTTGGCATGCACTTCTCAGCCTACAGCTGATTCCCCTTTCACTTCAGGAGGTAGGAGGGTGTTGGTTATGGGAGTGAAACCAGTCTCCCAGGTTCAATTCCCAGCTCAGGCATTTCCTAGCCTATAACCTTGGGCAAAGCCATTCACCTCTCCAGCACTGCAGATCCTTATCTGTGAAGGTTAAAGTAAACAGGGCACGTACCTTGCTCTGCTACATGCGTCAGCTCCAGGTCTCCTGACCCGAGATCACAGTAGGACTCCTTGCCAAGTCTCTCTCAAAACTCCTTTTTAATAAAACATTTATTGGTTTATTTTCATCTACTTGAAAGGCAGAGCGAGAGAAAGACCTTCCATCCTCTGGTTCAATCCCCAAATGCCTGCAACATTCAAAGCTGGGCCAGGCCAAAGCCAGGTGCCAGGAACTCCATCTGGGTCTCCCATGTGGGATGCAGGGACCCAAGCAAGCATGAGGCCTTCATCCGAGGGGTCCCAGGTCCACCAGCAGGGAGCTGGATCAGAAGCAGGGCAGGCAGGACCGGAACCAGCCTCTGATTTGGAGTGCAGGCACCCCAAGTGACAGATTCACCTGCTGCACTACAACAACTATCCCCCAAAATTCCTTTACAATACCAACCGTCCTCCTGAAATCTCTGGCCACCTGCCCACCTGCCAGACTGTGGGCTCCCGGAGGGCAGAGGTGTTTTGACATTGATCCCGCCTGTATATCTAGGCACTAACTGCTCACAGCTGGTCAATGAACGGCTAGAAACCCAATACCTACGAGAGCCTGGCGACAGATGGTCCCCAGCAGAAGCCCCCCAAACAAGGGAGGAGAGAGAGGACAAGACTAACAACAGGGCAATGTGGTCGTTAGGAAAATACCTTTATTATGTTGGAAATGCTCCAATGTTCAATGTAAAAACCATGACAGTGGCTTTTGTGCAACTTCACAAATTATAGAAAAATGATGTTCCCCCTTCATTACAGAAATCTCACCCCCAACTCAGACCGGGCTCCACTGTGGCTGAAACTCACCAGGAGGGAGGGAGCAGGGCACACAGCCAACAGGGCTTATGGCTCCCTGGGCAGCCAGAGGCTTCTCCCACACCGGGAAGCCCAGGCTGAGCGACCCCTCTGAAGGTGGCTCGACCTGTGGGTGCTGAGGCGGGGCCCTGTCTCGAAGGCCTGAAGAATGACACCGGTGGCTGGCAGGCCACGGTCAAGGCAGCTTCATGAGGGTGAGAACCGCAGGGGAGCCTGCAGCTCAAACCCCTTTCTCTGAAACACAGCCAGGAAGGAGGCTGTGGACACTGGCCAAATGGTGCTCTAGGTTCAGCAACTTCCCCTTTAGCTCAGTTTGCAAAGTTGTCAGTTACTTGAAAACAAAAATCGGAAAACAAACATTTGGTTCTCTTCCAGCTGTAATCAGCAGTTGGTAGTTTTTCTATTAGAAAAAGTCGCTCCTTGCTAAGTCCCCTTCCTTTCGCATCCATGGCTGGGGTCGGGGGCACAGCTGCGGCAGACGGCTGTTTGTTGATTTGAGAAAACTGTGAAAATGTTTTGCACTCACATACAAAGGCTGATGGAATCCAAAACCGATCCCACCAACTTTTATGAGCAACATGACTGTGCCTCTTGGGTGTCTCGAGTCAAAACAAGGCAATGGCCTGGTGATTTATAGCCCCCGCTACACATTTTCCGCCTTCCAGAAGGCAGTAGAGAAAAGCCTCTGCCAGGAGCGATTGTAAACACGCCACTGACAGCCTGGACACTTGTTTTTTAAATGCAGCAGGACTTTTTCCTTTGGCCCTGGCTGAAAAGCCAACTCCCTCAGACCACTTTGGGCAGGAGTAGAAGAGAGGGCTCCCCCTGGAAACTACAAGTGGGGGTCCAGTGGACCCTGGTGAGTGTGGCCGGGAGCAGCATCAAGGCATTCGGTACATGTATGGCACACGAAGACTGTCCTGTGGTCCCTGGCTGGCTCCTAGGCTCTACCTGGCTGGCCGAGAGGCCGGGGAGGTCCGGGTGGAGTCACCCTAAGGCACATGGTTGAGGTGGCCCCCATGCCAGGCCCAGAGAGATTATCTCTTCGCACGATTCCAGAAGTGCTGGAAAGCCGAGGAACTGATGACACTTACGACGAGCAGCAGCAGCAGATACAGGGACAGCATGACCGTAAACCAATGGCTGGCAAACCAGGAGAGCTGGCTCGAAGCCCTGCTGATGGGGAAAAAAGGAGCGATATTGGCAGAGAGAGAAAAACATCTTTTTTTCTGAAGTGTATGCAACAAGTTCTGGCTCCGAGAGGATGACATGATGAATTCCATCCTCTGCGTGAGCCATGAAATGAAGCTTCGTGCTCCTTTGCCTGGGAACTCTGGGGCTGTTTGCCCTGGCACCGACACGCCTTTCAACAGAACATTTTCTAGATGCAGAAAGACAGCTATGCAATGAGCTCAGCCCCATCTTCCCTTTATTCCCCCTCCCACCTTTTGTAACCGCTCTTCTCTGAAGCGAGACTCTGGTATCTAGAGGGATGCCCTAGCTCAGGGTGTCTGCCCGGATGGTGGCAGGAGACTGGTTATTAAGGAGAAGTCTTTTTGCTTTTAAACACAGACAGACAGAAATCCTAGCTGGGGAAACCCTCTCTGGCCCACAAGGAGCTGACCTCAATCATCCAAGTGTGCACAGCCGAGACACCCCGGGGGAGAAGTGGGAGAGAAATGGAATTTCCAAGTAGAAAACACAAAGTGATCTTACACTAAAGAACAGTGTCCCCGCCACACCCAGTCAAGACGCCTATGCACATTTCCCAAACTTGCAGAGAGTAAGGGGTGGTATTTTGTTGGTCTACGAAATCCAGAGGCATAGTAATTACTGGCAGGTACAAGCCAGAGTGGGGATTATTTAAAAATGACCCCCTTTTCCTCAGTACCTGCTCGCCTACAGCCAACCCCACTGGCAGCTCTGCTGGGGGCTCCCACAATGCAACAAGACCTCAACATGACCCTCAACCGTGAGAACCCCGTGTTCCCCCACTGCCACACTGCGGAGATGCTCAACACCTCGACCTCAGAGGTAACCTGAAGCATCTCAGGTCCAGAAAGGGACAGGTGCTGGTTCAACAGCCCCTCTGGGAAGTGACTGAGCGGGGCCGCACACACGCCCAGCCAGGGTCCCAGCCACCGCCCTGCCTCCCAGTCTGAGCTCATCAGTGGGTCTCAGACTGAGGTCATGGGCCTCGTTTGGGGCAGCCAGCTTGGTACCATTCAGTTCCTTGTGCTCCTGCTGTCTACGAATCTACCTTCTTCCCTAGAATACTGGGTCCTTGAAGGGCCAGGACCACCTCCTCTCTGAATCACACTCCACCTCCGTGCTGAAGGCTGGCGGGAAAGGGTGCTGACCACGCTGCACGCAACCTGCTGGCCCTCACACACGGACGGCCCCCTCTTACCTCTTGGCCTGCTTCTGCGAGTACACCAGCAGGTACTTCACCCGCAGGAGCTGGTTGTTGGTGACCACAAAGTACTTAGGAGGGATGTCTCCGCCTTCGCTGTGTTTGATTCTCGCTCTTCTGCGGTCTATCTCCTTGGAATCTGAACGACAGTAAAGCACAGCTTTGCTGGGGAGGACCCTGTATCTGACGTGGGCAGGGTGAGCAGGAAGGCCACAAGCCACCTGGTCCTAAGGGTGGATGGGCCCTGCAGGCTCAAGAATGGGCTGTGTGGGTCCCGGGGACTCTGAGAAGGTCACAGAAAACCGAATTCAAGCATAATTTTATTCTAGTGCAAAATAAATTCTTTCTTTCTTTATTTATTTTTTTTACTTCAAAGGCAGAGAGACAGAAAGACAAATGTTCCATTTACTGGTTCACTCCCCAAATGCCTGCCGACAGCCAGGTTGGGCCAGATGGAGTCCACAGCCAGGAACTCAATCCGGGTCTCCCACGTGGGTGGCAGGGACCCAAGTACCTGAGCCAACGCCTGCTGCCCCCCAGGGTGTGCAGCAACAGGAAGCTGGATTGGAAGTGGAGCTGGGACTTGAATCCCAAGCAGGGTATTAACCCCTGCACCAAATGCCTGCTCCTGTGTTTTTGTTTTTTTTTTTTAACAATATGCACTTTCCATGACCTTTCAGAAGATCCCACATGTGGGACACAGCACTAAAACCAGGAGACCACGGCAGACAAAGGGGAGGAAGAAAGAAAAGAACAGGAAAGTAAAAGGGACACAGGGAAGAGAACACAGCCGAGAGGGCAGGGCAGAGGGAAGGAGCAAACCATGGCTCTGGGGCTGGGACCCAGGAACCGGCCTCGCCCTGAAGGCGGCCTCGCAGGAGGTGGTGGGAGCCAAGCCCTGCAGACCTCGGCTCCTCAGAACGCTCACCTCCCACCCTTCCCACCAAGATCTGTTTAAGAAACACAAACAAACGAAAAACCCGCAAGTTTTCTTTTAATAATATGAAAAACCTCTACCAAGAAAAAAAAAAAGGCCAAGGCCGCCTGCCTGCGATGGCACAGATGGACACAGACGGCAAGGTTGCCCTTCGGTGTTTAAAGTCACGGTTTGCACACTTCCTCAGCATGAGAAAGGCAAGCATCGGTGCCATCGGCTTGGAGGGTGGTGTCAGACCTGGGCCTGGGCCTCGGGGTTCTGGCGGTTTTACGACGGAAGCCAGAACACTCAGTTTTCTCATTTCTCCTTTCCTCAGGGCGACAAGAGCCCTGCCCTGGAGACAGAAGTCAGTTCTATAATGCTTGTGTGCCTCTGTGAGGAGCCGCAGCACAGAGGGGAGCACAGGGCACGCGGTCTAAGGGACACGCGCGAGGGGAGTGGAGAGGACAGGGCCAGCATAGTCACCGCCCCTGCAGGGCCTGGCATGGACTGCCCTGGCCTCAGTGGCTCCCCACCCTCCCCGGAGGGCACCGGCGTGCCCAGGAGCTGCACCCAGCGTCCTTAGCTTCAGCTCAGCAAATACTGATTGACTGGCAGTACACAGCAGGCTCTCTGCTGAGAGAGGCTCCACTCACTCGTTCATTTACCGCACACACAGTGGTCCCTCCAGGGCCCCGGAGTGAACAAAACCAAGTTCCACCCTCAAGGAGCCCATGCTCTGACCTCACCACTCCCGTTTATTATTTTTTTAATATTATTTACTTATTTGAAAGGCAGAGTTACAGAGAAAGAGAGAGAAAGAAAGATCTTCCATCTGCTGGTTCACTTCCCAAATGGCCATAGTCACCAGGGCTGGGCCAGGCTGAAGCCAGGAGCTTCTTCCAGGTCGCCCATGTGGGCACAGGGGCACAAACACTTGGGTCATCTTCCACTGTTTCCCCAGGCTATTAGCAGGGAGCTGGATCGAAAGTGGAGCAGCCAGAACACAAACTGGCACCCATATGGGACACTGCAGGCAGCGGCTACACCTGCTACGCCACAACATAGGTACCCCCATCCATCCAACTCCCACCTCCTCCTCAGAGTTCTCCCTGGCCCCCGCTGACCCCACAGGATGGGTCCTCCCTCTGAAGTGGCCCCCACTGACCTCAGCAGCCCAAAACCTGGCACTCCCTGCCCACCCCCTTTATAAGTGGTCTTTCATCGTGTGTTCAATCCCTGTGAAGACTGACCCTCCCCTGAAGGCAGGTTTCTGTCCTGCACCGCTCTGAACCCCGCCCACCCCATGGCATGCAACAGGTGCTCCCCCCAGCGGCTGGGCTGAGCGCTCACTCACCCTTCTTCTTGGTTTGGCACTTGACATCTGGATGGTCGATGACCTCGCACACGGCCACACAGCTAAGGATGGGGCCAAGGAGGCTGCGCTGCCACCCGTGGCCGTGGGGGCTGTAAATGAGGGCCAGGCTCAAGTCACTGGTGAGGTAGGTCCCCTCTCCGAACAAGGACGTCTGGAACGGCAGAGGCCAACAGAGAAGAAAGGAAGGCAGGTGAAGGTGGAGGTGGCACCACGAGAAGACACAGGCCCGCCTTCAACAGAGTTGTAAATAAACATTCCCCACTCCTTCTTTCCCCAGGAGCCAATAGCCCGGGCATCATCACAGTGCTACTCCTGAACACATTCCTATCTGACAACACTTTGATGGATTGTGGGTTTGGCCATCTAGACTGGCAGACTAGCAGTTCCTTGTGGTCAAGGGTGAATGGGAAAAACACAGGTAGCAGAGTCCAAACAGACGGCAGTTTCAATCCCACAGCTGGCAAGTTACGTAAACTCTCTGCTGTCTCGGTCTCTCCATCCACCAAACAGCGGGAACAGCACCTCTTCCCGAGCTGTGGCTGAGCATGACGTGAGATACGCACATAAGACACCAAGCAAGACTCCAGGGAGATGGTGGGGAAGTGAGGAATGGGTTCTCTCTGGCGGGCTCTTTGTGCGTTTGTACGGTAATTCCTGTGATATTGAATGCATCCAGCACAGTGACAGGGATGACCTTATGAAAGCAACGTCACACTGGGGAGGAAGTCGCATCCCAGCGGGGAGGGAAAAGGAGTGAGTCAGAAGCAGGCACTGTGACCAAACGAGGCGGGCCTCTGCGAGAGGCAGGGTGTTACTCTGTGGATGGTATTGACCAAGAAAATGCCCACAAACCCAATGGGGCTTCTTCCTGGTGGTGCAGGCTCACTCAGTGCCCTCCATGAGGAAGCATGCTAGGGGCTGGCACTGTGCTGAGCGGGTTAAGCCGCTGTCTGCAACGCCAGCATCTCACACTGGAGTGACAGCTCCCGTCCCAGCTGCTCAGCTTCCAGCTTTCGATCCAGCTTCCTGCACATGCACCTGGGAAGGCAGCAGCAGATGGCCCAAGTACTTGGGCTCCTGCCCGCTGCGTGGGAGACCCGGATGGAGTTCCTGGCCCCTTACTTCAGTTTGGCACAGCCCTCGCTATTGGGGAGTGAACTAGCAGATGGAAGATCTGTCTCTCTGTGTGTCATTCCGCCTTTCTAACAAATGGATAAATCTTAAAAATGGAGAAGCGTGCTAGGTGAAGTAGCTGCAAGTGGAGGCTACAGCAGGTGTAGCAACCACAGGCTTTGCCCGGGGTGGATAACAAGTCAACTGCGACGGCCAACATCACCACGTCAGCCATGCTGACGCAGAGTCCTTCTCAGCACAGCGTTCAGGCAACTGCTACCAACGGCTGGGCTGAAATCTAACTGATCCCTGGGCCGCAGCATCAGTATCTCAGGGCGACTTGAAGAGCTCACGGCAGTACATCCCGTGCTGTGGAACTGACAGCTGCTGTCACAATTCCAAGCCTGGTGAGTGAAGCTCAGGAAAATGAAACAAACCTTCCCCTGGCCTCGGGAAGTTCCTTGCCGGGCAGTGCCCCCGTCTCTCGGAAGCTGACACAGACCTTCTCCCAGGAAGCTGGCACCCTCTTCTCTGACCCCACACCCACCAAGCATTCCCCCTTCTGCAGGCTCAGACACCCCACGCAACGCTGCCGTGTGCAGGCTTGCACAAGGGTGGGAAGCGTGGGTTATCTCCACCGTGAGGACAAGGTCACAGCTTCAAAGGGCAGGTGGGATCCCTCAAACAAGCCCGAGAACACCCAGGAGAGGGGGTGGGAGAGGACTGACTGAAGGCGCTCACCAGTGAGCTCTCTGGGGCACTGTGGTGAAGGCGTGGTGCACACCACGGACCTGCACACAGCTTCTCCAGGCAGCTGCAGTGGGAAGCGGAGGGCCCTGGATCCCAGCAGCCTGGCCGCGATCACGCGGTGAGAGCCAGTGTGGCCTCGGCAAACCCTGACGGCTCTGATGAGATGTGGGGAAGTGTCTCTCTCTGGAGCCCCAGGAGGGCATCGGCCACAGTGGAGCCCAGGGCTCAGCCGGCCTCTCAGATGCTGCCACGACAGGAGGAAAGACCTGCAGCCCTTCCAAGTGCCCCAGACGCCTCTCTGTCCGCTGGAAAAGCTGCCCCCCTTCCTTGGGGCTAAGAACACGAAGAGCTCTTCACGTGCATGCCCGTTTCAATCCTCACACACACCTAAGGGAGGGTGATGGCGTCCCCTTTACAGAGGAGACTGAAGCCCACAGAGTTTAAGTAAATTTGCCCACAGCGACACAGCCTGCTAAACCTCTTAGCTTCAAAGCCTGTCCATAATCTTCTTCCTACATCCTTACTCTGTGCTAAAATAAGTACAAAGGGGTGACGGACAGCTCAGACTCCTAAAATTGGGAGGGAAGCAGCTCATGGGGGCGAGGGGTTCCTCAAGTGCTCCAAGGGTGGAAGCTTCCGGACTGTAACACACACAGGGATCTCTGCGGGTGGATTCTAGTTGGGTGGTCTCTGGTGGGCCTGAGAGTGCACATCCCTGTGCCCAGAGATGCTCATTCACTCGGCTGGAATCCCCCTGGGCATTGGGATGTTGGTTTAAAGCTCCCTACGTGGCTCCACATGGACAGCAAAGGTGGGAACTGATCTTCTCAAACAGTCATGGGCGCAGACATCCCCAGGCAGCCTTGGTTAGACGCAGGCTCTGCTTCGGGTCTAGGATGGGCCGACATGCTGCATTTCCACAGGTTCCCGCTGACACTGGTCTGCAGACCCAGGCCACCGCCCCCAGGCCACCAAGCCCCCCAGGCCCTACCTTGTTGAGGTGGCAGTGCAGGCCATTGTGGATGATGGAATGGAAGTTCTCCAGGCGGCTGCCATGGAAGGCATAGATGAGGTCTCGCTCTCCTTTGGTCTCATAAAATTTGGCATTGGCTGGGTCGAAGTACTCGATTTCAAACAGGAAGTCCGGTGCAGGCACAGGTGTATGAGGGGCCCCAGTCAGCTTCTGGATCTTTTCAAACTTGAAAACATGAAGGGAGTCACTGTTGGACCTGAGAGCTGGGCAAAAGGGTCACAGACATGACCTCCAAGCCCTGGGCTTCATGCCCAAGGGCTGTGCTCCTGAGAACAACAGGTTCCTACAATGAGATGCTGGTTCACGTTCTCTGTGCAAGCTCGAGCCCACTTGCCACCAACAGCATTATCCCTGTCCCCATAGTGGGCTGAAAAGTACTGTTTGCGACACTTTTAATTTTCCGAATGCTTTCACACCTATGTCCTGCATTCCATTTTGACAAAGGGCAAAAATGGCCACAAATGTTTCCTGCATTCCTGCCAGTGCCCCAGAAATCCCACCAAGATTCCACTAACAGATGAGCTGACTTCTCCACCCCTTAAATCTGGGCTCAGCCCACGGGACCCGACATCCACACGGCAAAGACCCAGAGAAAAAGAATCTGGGGCTGGCATTGTGGAGTAGAGGGCTGGCCTACCACTGCGACGCCGGCATCCTCTGTGGGTGCTGGTTCAAGTTCTGACTTCTCCACTTCTAATCTCCCTGCCAATGTGCCTGGGAGAGCGGCAGAAGATGGTCCAAGTGCTTGGGTCCCTGAACCCACATGGGAGAGCCAGTTGAAGCTCCTGGCTTCTGGATTTAGCCTGGCCCAACCCTGACCACTTTGGCTATTTTGGGGTGAACCGATGGGTGGAAGATCTCTCTCCCTCTCCCTAACTCTGCCTTTCTTTATCTTTTAAAAGGATTTATTTATCTATTTTGAAATTCAGAATTACAGACAGAGGCAGAGACAGAGAAAGAGATATCTTCTATCCATTGGTTCACTCCCCTGATGGCTGCGATGGCCAGGATTGGCCCCAGCCTGAAGCTGGGGACCAGGAACTTCATCCGGGTCTCCCATGTGGGTGCAGGGGCCCAAGCACTTAGGCCATCTTCTGCTGTTTTCCTAAGCCATTAGCAGGGAGCTGGATCAGAAGCGGAGCAGCTGAGATATGAAGCGGCACCCTTATGGGATGCCAGCACTGCAGGCAGTGGCTTAACCCACTATGCCACAACGCCAGCCCTCTCTTTCTTTCAAATTAATTAATTAATTAAAAAAAAATTACGAGATCTGCACTTCCTTGCAGGGTACTAGGCACCCTTCACTCCTGTCCTGGGTAATCTTCTGTAGGGCTAATCTCATAGAAAAAGACCCCAGAACACCCATGAGGCCACTCTCAACCATCCAGCCCCAAAGAGCCACCTGCGGATCCCCGAGCATCATGGGAAGCATTCATGGATGGGTGTGGGGGCCGGTCCACCGGATATGGGGGAGTGAGCTCCTTCCTCCAGGACGACAGCCTCCTTCAGGGCAGGGGGCTATGCCACTCTGCTGTTTGCAAACTAGAGCCGCCCAGCAAGGCTGCCTCTAGCAAAGTCTCGACTGAATGAAGAAGCTATGTCCCAGGCAGAGTTATCCTTATAGAAAGGTCAGGATCCTTTATCCTGAGGCCGGGCCTCTCCTGCTTTAGTATGAAAACGCCCTTCTGTAAAACGATGATACAGGGTAGCAAACAACCTCACCAGGGTAAAATACAACCTGAGGCCCTGGGCCCCAACATACCACATTTCAATGGAAACTTAACTGGTCCCTATCAAAAGTCAAGAAGCCTGTGGCCAGTGCCGTGGCTCACTTGGCTAATCCTTCACCTGTAGTGCCGGCATCCCATATGGGCGCCAGGTTCTAGTCCTGGTTGCTCCTCTTCCAGTCCAGCTCTCTGCTGTGGCCCGGGAAGGCAGTGGAGGATGGCCCAAGTGCTTGGGCCCTGCACCCGCATGGGAGACCAGGAGGAAGCACCTGGCTCCTGGCTTCAGATCAGCGCAGTGCCGGCCATAGCAGCCATTTGGAGGGGTGAACCAACAGAAGGAAGACCTTTCTGTCTGTCTCTCTCTCTCACTGTCTAATTCTATCTGTCAAATAAAAAAAAAAGTCAAGGAGCCGCACTGCATCTTCTTTAGCTACAGCTCCCAACATCTGGTAGGAGTTTGATGTCCCTGTGAGGATGAGTGAATGAATGAATCTTGGTTTAACAGATGACAACAGTGAAAGCCAGAGATGACCTAGGAACCTGCGGCCGAGCCTGGACAGGAATACGGATCTCCTGACTCCCACGGCGGGGCTTTTTGTGTCACTTTAGCATCCAGCACCGGGGGAGAAGGTCCATAGACACCAGAATCCAAGCTACCAAACTCTTGGCCACTGAGCAAAGACTTCTCTCCTTGGCAGGAGCCTATCAAACTGAATATTCTTAAATTGAAATGAAGTGACTAACAGCACAGATAAACCCCTGCTTCTACTCAGAGGAAAGAGCACAGGCCGGGATTCCAGCCCCACACCCAGGTCCTTGTCACCCCAGCCTGTGCCCCGGAGACACCTGTTGAGCAAGGTAAGGTGAATGATGCAACGTCCCACTTGTGCCACACTCTACGCTGGGGGTGACACACGTCCTGTCTCAGCCCTCCTTTGGGGTAACTATAACTATTAATAGTCTCAATTTACAAACAGGGAAAAGGAAGACTTAATAATCAAGGAAGTGGAATTAGAACGCGGAGACTCAGGTTTCCACTACTCTGAATTCTGCCTCTCTGTTTCCTGACAACTGGGCCAAGTCAATGCTTCTTCTGAAACACTGGGGTCTACCCTGATCACAGTGCCTGGAGGTGCAAATTAAATAAAGCGATATGCAGGGACTGACGCTGTGGTGTAGAGGATAAAGCTGCCGCCTGCAATGCCAGCATCCCATATAGGCGCCAGTTCGAGTTCCGGTTGCTCCACTTCCGATCCAGCTCTCTGCTATGGCCTGGGAAAGCAGTGGAAGATGGCCCAAGTCCTTGGGCCCCTGCATCCACATTGGAGACCTGGAAGAAACGTCTGGCTCCTGGCTTTGGATTGACCCAGCTCCAGATGTTGCAGCCATTTGGGGAGTGAACCAGCAGATGGAAGACCTCTCTTTCTCTATCTGCCTCTGCCTCTGTAACTCCACCTTTCAAATAAATAAATAAATATTTTAAAATAATTAAAAGAGACAAGATGCAGCTTTGCACTGCTAATGCAGTGGGCCTGACCTCAGACGGTGTCTCGGGGTGAGGTCTAGAGTTCTACATTTTCAACACACTTGCCAGACCACTCTGGGACCCATCTGGTGCTGTCCCAGAGCCCTAAGTCCTACAGCCCAAAGTCTCACCTCTGCCTTGCCAGCACTGTGGATCGTCAGGGCCTTGGAGGATAAAATCCAGCTCACCAGGTCCCAGGCCCGCTTGTCGTTGTCGCCCGAGGACTGGAGTAGCTCTTTCAGGTTGGGTAACCTGCTGGCATCTGCAAGCTGAAGCCAGGGGACAATCTCCATTAGCAAGGATCCGGGACACAATAACCGGGCACCCTCTGGTGGCGAGGCAGGCAACTTGCACTCCTTCCCCGACAAGGAAGTTCCTAGGAGGTGGGCCATGCAGGCCACAACACCCTTTCCAAAGAATCCGAAAGCTAAAACCCTGAACTCGGAAAGGCTTGCTTTGTAGCTCACTGAGTATAAAACCTGGCCTGTGGCCGGCGCCGCGGCTCACTAGGCTAATCCTCTGCCTTGCGGCGCCGGCACACCGGGTTCTAGTCCCAGTCGGGGCGCCGGATTCTGTCCCGGTTGCCCCTCTTCCAGGCCAGCTCTCTGATGTGGCCCGGGAGTGCAGTGGAGGATGGCCCAAGTCCTTGGGTCCTGCACCCCATGGGAGACCAGGAAAAGCACCTGGCTCCTGCCATCGTTTCAGCGCGGTGCGCCGGCCGCAGCGGCCATTGGAGGGTGAACCAATGGCAAAAAAAAAAAAAAAAAAAAAAAAAAGACCTTTCTCTCTGTCTGTCTCTCTCATTGTCCACTCTGCCTGTCAGAGTTAAAAAGAAGATGGAAAGGGAGCAGAAAAAAAAAAAAAAACCTGGCCTGTGCCAAGGTGGGGTTTGTCTAGTATTCACTTACCCTACTTCCTGTTACGATCACTCATTTGGCTGCAGGAAGAGTAACACGTCTGAGTAGGGGACACCCTGAGGGAGGTGTTGCTACTATCTGGTAGGTACGCCTGTGGGTCAAGGGTGAGACAAGCCTTTTTCTTCCAGCACGAGAACTGATTCACTTGCTGTTAGCACTTCCCTTGGAGATGAGTGAGCCGGCCACACTGATCATGGTAAACACGACCCAGGAGAGTAACCCGTGTCCAGCCTGGGAGGCCCGGAACCTCGAGCATGGTGACCCGTGGGAAGGGCCCTGGCAGCTGTGCCCACGACACTCAGGAGAGCCCAGCTTCTGGGGAAAATGGGGCTTTGGCACTGAGGCCACAGCAGCAGGTGATCTCCATTCTAAAATCGGTAGGAGGGGCGCAGCGGGTGAAGCCGTCACTTGCTTGTGACAGCAGCATCCCAAGAGCCCCAGCTGCTCTGCTTCCCATCCAGCTCCCTGCTAATGTGTCTGGGAAGGCATGGAGAATGGCCCAAGGACTTGGGTCCCTGCCACCCACACCCACACGGGACACCTGGATGGAGTTCCAGGCTCCTGACTTCAGCCTGGACCAGACCCGGCTGTTTCAGCCATTTGGGGAGTGAACCACTGGATGCAAGATCCCTCAGTCTCTCTCTCTCTCTCTCTCTCTCTCTCTCTCTCTCTCTGTCACTCTGCCTTTCAAATAAATAAATCTTCAAAATGTAAAATCCTGAGGCACATTTGGTGCTTTCTTTTGTTTTTCTTTTTACATTGATTTATTTATTTGAAAATCAAAGTTACAGAAAGAGAAAGGGAGAGATAGAGTGGTCTTCCATCCTCTGGTTCACTCCCCAGATGTCTGCAATGGCCAGGGCTGAGCCAGGCTAAAGCCAGGAGCTTCTTCTGGGTCTCCCACTTGGGTGCAGGGGCCCAAGGACTTGGGCCATCTTCTACTGCCTTCCCAGATGCATTAGCAGGGAGCTAGATCAGAAGTGGGGCAGCTGGGACAAGAACCAGCACCCATATGGTGTTGTAAGCAAAGGTTTTACCTACTATGGTGCTAGGATTTCTGATGCAGGACGGGGGACCTGGACTAAGAGATTATGACAAAGCATCTGCAACTTTTGCTCAGAAGTGACCGCTGACCAAGCCTCTCCGACCACACATCTGGCCCATCCTCAAGCCCTGCCCTCCCTACCAGATGCCCATGAGCATGACATGCCCAAGGGACACCCAGGCACCCTCACCCTCCTCTAAACCCCTGACTCCCTCAGGCCCAGTATTCTCTCCTCAGTGTAGCCAGGCTCCTGGAGGTCAAGGCCTGCCTGGGTTTCCCTAATCCTCATCTTTCCTGGCCGCAGAGGGAGCAGTATGTGTGCCAGAGTCAGATCTCAGTTCGAATCCTGCTCCTCAGGCAAGGCACGGGGGGCCTGACTGGCACCCGTCTCCCCTAACGCGGGGACCCCACCAGCTCCACATGGGGTGACAGGAAAGTATGAGAACCTAGGGCCTGGTCTACACACATCCAATTCTTTTCCTCCCACCTGTACTCCCGCCCAGACACCAGCTCCCGACCTTGGCCTCTGCTCGGCCTGGCTGTAGTTGGCACTTTGTGAATACAACAAGTTCTTTTCCATTTTGCTGACTTTGGGTTTTTCCCCTTGGATCAAAAATCACAAACCTCTCAGGCCCATTTTATTCCTATCTATTTCCAAGGACTCGTTGAGTGCCTCAGACTTCTGAGAAACCTCTCTCCACACCGCGGAGGTGAGGATCGAGGAAGAATAAAGATCCGTGGAAGGATTACTACTTACTGCTCCACAGCGCCTAACTTCCCCCTCTCCCGCTGTGCACCCCAGGGGGCGGGGGGGACTGTGTTACCAGGGATTGTTTGCTGAGTGGCCACTATGGGTCAGGCCCTGTGCTGGGTGGCTTGCAGGGGGGCACTAGAGATTTAAAAAGAGCCCCCAGACACCAGCATTGTGGTGTAGCAGGTAAAGCTGCCACCTGCAATGCTGGCATCCCCTATGGGCATCAGTTCGAATCCTGGCTGTTCCACTTCCCATCCAGCTCCCTGCTAATGCACCTGGGAAAGCATGGAAGATGGCCCAAGTGCTTGGGCCCTATGCCCATGTTAGGGACCCAGATGAAACTCCTGGCTCCTGGCTTCCGCCTGGCCCAGACCTGGCTGTTGTGGCCATCTGGGGAGTGATCCAGCAGAGGGAAGACCTCTCTTTCTCTCTCTCTCTCCCCTTCTAACTCTGACTTTCAAATAAGTAAATAAAATCTTTAAAAGTTAAAAGGGCCCCAGTCAAGAAGAGAGGCAGAAATGTCCATAACGATGACTCCAATATTAATTAAATATTCATTATCATAATAAAGATGGATACAAACTACTAGGGGACTCGCGCTGTGTGACAAGAGGGTGGTGTCGGGAGGGGCTTCAGGAGCAGGTGTCGTGGGACCCAGTTTGCCATGCAGACACAGCAGCCTGACAACGTGGTGTGTAGGCGGGGAAAAGGATGTGGCAAGGTTAATCCGGCAGCCGGGGTCCAAACCCAGGCTCTCAGCCCCCTGCCAGCTGTGTGGCCTTGGATGGGCTGTTCGACCTCCATGTCTCAGTCTCCTCAAACACATAACTGGGATGGTTTTAGGAGCCACTTCACAGCATCCCAGCGAGGGCCACTCGTGTTCAACAAGGAAAGAAAGGTCCTGGGCATTCTCCCACGGAGGTGTGACTGCCGAGGAGGGTCTTGTCATCCCTGACTGCGGTGGCTCTGGGTGGCTGCACCAGGGGAGGGAGACTGGGAAGGTGACCAACCCGAGGTCAGTCTGTGCAGGGCCCCTGGGCTTTGCTTGGCAGGTAACATAAAGCCACTGCAGGACCTTCAGGGAGCTACCTTTCCCAAAGGCCACCCACCACCCCACCCCCAGCAACCTGGGGCACATCTCCGTCTCCCCATTCCTTCTTTTCCAGTCCTGGTCCACACTTGCTATCCCACAGCCAGAGCCAGAGCCGCACCACTGCTCTCCCAAGGTCGCAGCCCTGCCATTCTGGTTCGCAAATCCCATCAGTCTAGACCTGAATGCAGGGAGCCCCCGCTGAAGGAGGGTCCGCTGGCCAAGGGCCCTGTAGGGACACAGTCTGGGCCAGTGGAAGAAATCCTGCACAGCTCTGAGCTCGTCCCAGGCCCTGCCTGAGCTCAGCCACAGGGCCAGTCTCCTCCAGGTCCCCACTGCCACCTGCTGGGTCGGGGCCCCTGCGGCACCCTGCCCCTCCTTGCCCCTCCCTGACTCACTTTCCACGCTTCTGCATTGCAGCAGGGCCCATGGGGACCAGGCACACAAGTAAGGCTGCCAGATAAAGCAGTCTGCCCCGAGACATTTACATTTCAGATAAACAGGTTTGGTTTATTTCATTTTTAACACAAACAGAAACCATGAAATAGTTGGGGCATGCTTACACTAAATTATCTGCGGTTCATCTGAAATGCAAAAGTAGCTGCTTTACCTTTTATCTCTGCTAAGTCTAATGACTCTGCCCTTACAAGGCCCTTGGTTCTGCCTCTGCCCAAGAGCGCCTGCTGTCGTCAACTCCCTCCCACCCCCAGTGCTGGTCCCCAAGTGACCCAGGTCTTTCTTCCACGTGCTTCTGCAGCTGCTAACGTGACACTGCACCCAGTCTTCGAGGCCAGCCTAGAGTCACTTCCCCTGCGAAGCCTTCCCAGACCACCCAGGACCGCTGTGCTCAGTGGTAACAGCAGAGCTTCCTGTTGGTGCGTGACCCTCTGGGGCTACCTCACATCTCGTTGGGATAAACACTCCCCGAGGACCAACCACATCCGATCTATCCTAGAGCCCCAGCAGCCAGCCTGCAACCCGCACACAGTTCAGAACACAACAGTAATAGAGCAGGCCAGCACTGGGGCACAATGGGTTAACGCCCTGGCCTGCAGTGCCGGCATCCCATATGGGTGCTGGTTCGAGACCCAGCTGCCCCACTTCCATTCCAGCTCTCTGCTATGGCCTGGGAAAGCAGTGGAGAATGGCCCAAGTCCTTGGGCCCCTGCACCCACATGGGAGACCCGGAAGAAGCTCCTGGCTCCTGGCTCCTGGCTCCTGGCTCCTGGCTCCTGGCTCCTGGCTTCGGATCAGGGAAGCTCCGGCTGTTGCAGCCAAGTGGGGAGTGAACCAGCGGATGGAAGACCTGTGTGTGTGTGTGTGTGTGTGTGTGTGTATCTCTGTCTTTCAAATAATGAATAAAATAAATCTTAAAAAAAAAAAAAAAAGAGTAATAGAGGCTTTGGCTGAGCCTTTACCACATGCAGGCACTGGGCTAATTCCTGGGCAGGGGTCATCTTAGT